CTATAGCTGTACCCAAGCCTTTTTCATCATGGCAGATTGCAGTATCATCAACAGCTGCTCTACAGGAAACAAGTTTTTGTTTATTTAAAAACGTATGCTTCACTTAAAAACACTATCTACCTAAAACTAAAAAGAGTTAGAGGATTAGTTTAACACATGATTAGACTTGTACCATTCAGATTATAATAATACATGCCCTCTTTGAAGAATTTCAAAATGCTGTTCTGCAGTCAGGCAAGCAATCTGTTCACATGACAACAAAAGAGTATTGCAAATCTAACACAAACACAATAAAACAAATGGCCAGTGCCTGAACTCTACTAAGAATAAACTGAAACAGAAAATGAGGCATTTTTACCTAAGAACATGGTAAAACATTTTGGTGCAAGATGAATGCCGGGTTATACACTAAGTGCAGAGAAATCCACCTGCACACAGCAGACTACAATCCACATTTGCACAGATCATAGAGAACACTACTCAGGTTTCAAGGGTCAATACTAATTGGTTAGTGATACTAGCAACTCTTGTTTCACCAGTGAGAACCTGCCCACACATTTAAAAAGCATGAACACCTCTAAATCACAACCGACTTCTACAGTACCTACACACAAGCCAATAAAGCAATGCACTTGGCTTAATTTAATGTGACACACACGAACTAAAAGGAAGATTAAAGATTGTGTTTACAGTTTTGTCACCAGCAATCATCATGCAAACGCTGATAGGACAGTCTGGGACCACAGATAAACAGTCGTCTGTTTAATGCAGGACCTATCATTCCACTAGAGACCTTGTTACAGTCTTCAGGGCTAAATTCCCCATGCAAAGTGCTTCTGCCTTATGAGAGCAGAAATTGATTCTTGCCTGCCTACTTGAGTTTTAAGACCCTGTACAATTTAAAATAAACACTGAAGACTTTTTGTTCATTATCTATCAGAACTTAATTTTTGCCTGTATGGAAAAATATGGAAAACACACTGAACTATATTCTGGATATTATAATGCAACCTTTCAGACCTCTTTAAGAGATCAATCCACCAAAGTCTGCTTTGATAAGAAAACTGAAGAAGACTTCTGGATTCAAGATCCATTTAAAAAACTACAATTTGAATTTTGTCCTTCCTGATTGCTGCACTGTCCAACCTACCAATCAAGCCACAAACTGAGACTGCACATGGGGTCCTGATTCAGATGCAAGTCAGATTTGCACCAAGATGCACTACCAGGCCTGGAATACAAGAATATTACCTAGAGCAACATTTACAAAGCAACTCTACCATCTTCAAAAATTTGGAGACCATTTCTAATGTCCTTGAAGTTATCTCAGTACACTTGTTCCTCCAGGACTAATAAACCAGAAGTCCAACTCTTTTCCATCAACATTAACACATGCAACAAGTGAGGGGCTCAAATCACTCTACTGGTGATTTTTACTAAATGCACTAGAAAAAATTCCTATTACAGTACTATTACACATTCATGAGACATCCAGGAACTGTAATTCCAAGAAAACAAAACGTATAGAACATTCTAACTTCGAGTACACTATCCAGTCTTCACTGAGGATACATTTGGAAAATTTTTCATGCCATTATTTTGGTCATCTCAGAAGTATTAACACAGCATTCAAGCCCCTAGCACCATACTCCACCTGTATTCCTTTGGTCTTACAAGGCAATAGGGAAGCTTATTCCCCATCTTGTTGTGGGCTGACCTTGGCTGGACACTTCGTACTCCCTGATCTGTTCTATCATTTCTCTTCTCAGCAGGACAAGAGACAGAAAATACCATGGAAAAAAATCATGGGTTAAGATAAAGGCAGTTTAATAAAGCAAAGGTCATGTAGAGAAGCAAAGGTCGATAAAAAACTTACTCCCTACTTCCCACTGGCAGACATGTCCAGCCACTTCCCAGAAAGCAGGGCTTCAGTACACAGCATGTTGCTCCAGAGCACAAATGTCACAGTAAGTGGCACAAAGCTCTGTAGAGAGACTGGAAATTTCCTCAACATACATGTTTCGTTTCTTACTGGACTTGAAATGTTCTGGTTAAACAGACAAGTGTTTAAGTTTTGTATGCTGGATATGTCAAAACAGGCACGGGTTGGTTTTCACAAAAACAAACATTTAATGCTGCAGTACAGCTGTGTTGGACAAAGCAATAGAATTTTTACATTTTTTTCAAAGCTTCTAAAATGCTTCAGCTTTTAAAATGTTTCACCTGAAAATGGAACATAGTTTACCTTTTTATTAAAAAAGCCTAAAATGTAAAACAAACAAAGTTTTTCAAACAATGAAGACAGGTAGAAGAAGTGTTTCTACAGATGAATCACTGCTGCTACAGTATAATAAACAACAGTGACAGCCATATTTATGCACATGTCAAGGGCCAAGCTAAATCTAGCCATTAACACACAGTACTATGTTTTGAAATAGTTTGCTACAAAGTTCCAAGAACACAAAAGTTGGCCATTGGAGAAACCTTCTCCCAGTCTGAATTATGCCAGACAGCCTGGGGAAAGAAGAAACGTTTCTTCTTTCTACATTCTCACACTCCAAGACTTCTGGAAGTGCTAGTGCCATCTTGCCATCCACTTAACTTGTGCAATAGCACTACATACTACTTAGAAGTGGGATCAAGATAATTACCCCTTTTTTATTAACTTATCCAAAATCAGTCTGTCTTTATGCTCCCACAAACATTGGAATTCAATTTAACAGTGCTTCTCTACCCACAGAAAGTCAAGCAGCTCGAGATGTTTAGAACATCTTACACAAAAAGCCATACCACTAACCTACCCTCCTCCATGCTCTGCACTTCCATTTCTTGCTGTATTTTAGTTTTGAGCATGCTTTCCACACTATCCTTAATTTAGAAAACTTCCTATGAACATTCACAAATTCCCACTTTTATTCAGAGAATCTTTAATGACTACCAAAAATATGACAGTCTGAACTCACACAAATTAAAACAAGCCGGTTTATCATTTTCAGTTAGTTTTCCACAAGCCCTTACATGCAGGTGTTCATATGCTTACCCAGCACCTTGCTCAGTGGTACACTGATGCTTCCTAGGAGACAAAACATCTGCAAATCCATCAGTACAGAGAAATCTAGTGCTGAATGAATTTCTGAAGCTGAATACAGTTAAGTAAGAAAGTCCAAAGGCAACAGAGAACTTCAGTTCCTCAAGAGAAACTCCAATACACTTAAGTAACTGAGTCCTCCTTACTCAGGCATTACAAGCTCAGGTCACCTTTGCCTCAGTCCCACCACGATGAGGGACAAAAATTAATCCAGAGGATGGAAAGAGTACAGGCAATGTCTATCACCCTTTAAAAGTCAAGAGATCAAAGCTTTCTTACTAAGCAGCAGTAAATCATTATAAAGTCAACTTAATTTCCAAGTGACACTAAGGAGCTAAGGTTCCTAATCAGGTAATGAAAGTATCTCTACTGTAATTTGCTATTACACTACCTGCACTTTGTCCAATCCTTCATACTTCTTATGACTCAAAATTTACCTGTCACAAGGCAAAGATGTGAAAAGGTATTGAGAAACTTGTACAGCTATATACAAGGGGATGGCTTCCAGACAGCAAATTGGACACAGCTGCTCTTTAGTAATAGCACTATCAGGAACAAGTTCTAGGTAGCAGAGCAACACACTACTTTTCTATAATATTTAGCCAGATCAGAACAGGATCCCTCCTGGAAAACCTAAACTACAGATTCTCCCAACCCTCTACTCCGTGCTTTTCCTTCTTAAAGCATGGAAAGCACAAATAGTCTATGCCCAGGAAACTGTTAAACTCATCCCTCAATTAGTCAAGGAAAAATAAAGCAAGAAAACCTTCACTGTTGCTACCCACATAGAATAAGGAAGATACTAAGAAAATGTGTCATTGTAACTGCTCCTAAAGCATTTCCTAGACAAATATGTAACAAGTTAAAGTTGAGGAGAAAACCACCTTTAAATAAGTTGCTGAGGTGCCCAGAACATCAGCATCCTTCCAGAATATATTCTTAGAACTGCCCTTGATAATACACACAATAAAACAGAAAATGTAAATCATCACTTCATCAGGATATAAAACTCCTCTCTTTTCATAAAGGTACTCATTGTGTAAACTGTTCTTTGAACAATAACCCAAACATCTGCATTAACAAACAGAAGCCTGCTACACAATGCTCCTCCTTAGTCATGACAGGAGCCATCTGTTCATCCAGCTAACCCCAGGCAAGCACCATCACAACTTGCTCACGTTATGCATCCTTGTACTCCATGTTTCAGTCCATGCTATTTGTGTTTCCAAACTGCAACGACACTGGTGGCATTAATCATACCACCACAAGTATTAACACACATCCCTACTTTAAAACAGTTTAAAAAATTACCTCTGGTCTTCAATTAAAAGGCACAAGTGGACCATAGCCTTTTATGCATAGGGATGCCAGCATGTAGTTTCTGTAGTCATTCTTGTCCTGCAGGATGCACTTTCTCTGTCCTTCCTTCCTATTCCATACATTTTTAATATACTTAGCCTAGCTGCTCTTTCAACCAAATGCTACTTTTTAAGGGGACACTTCATGGAGTTTACTGGATTCTACTCAAAACTCCCATTAAATTTTCACGAGTTAACCCTTGCATCCAGAAATACTCGAGTAGGTCCCGTTATTCCAAAATTCGGCGACCTACTGAAGTGAATACCTTTTCCTGCATCTTGCCCACGCAGCTCTACCACCTCCCTGCTCTCACTACTGCCGAGGTTAGCAGCTCATCACTTGCTGCTGCTGGATTCGCCCGTGCACGGGCCAGACCCTGGTACCCAGCACAGACAACAAAACCAGCCGTCTCGGCGGACGCACGTTTTATTGTGTTGAAACCTGGCGTGGGCAGGGCCGAGGGGAAAGGGAGAGGGAGCCGAGCCCTCCCAGCCCACGGCTGCGGGGTGTGCGGCTGCCGCCTGCAAAGAGAGAAGCGGGGACTGCTCCGTACCTGACCCAGTTGTCGCGGAACTTGCTCTGCTGGGGCTGGTTCAAGTAAATGGTGCGGGCTGGTGCCTCGTCCAGATCCGCCGCGGACGTGGCTCCGGACATCTCATCATCCGCCTTCTTGTAGCCCGAGGTGGAACAGACAGGTCCTGCAAGGAGAGCGCGGCGGGAGGCGGTCAGCGAGGGGCCGCGCCCAGCGGAGCCGGGCCGGCAGCTCCGGGGCCGCGCCGCGGGGAAGGGCCGCGGTGGGCGGCGGCTGCGAGCGCGCCCTGCCCGCTGTTTACCTCGGCGGCGGCTGTAAATAATGCGGGTCCGGGGAGGGGGCGGCGGGGCGGCCGCAGCCAGCTGGCGGCGGGGACAGCGCGGGGCCCGCGCCCCCCGCCCGCGGGGATGGGCCGGGCCCCGCCCCGGGAGCGCCGCCCCCGCTCCCGCCGGGAAGCGCCGGGCGGCCCCCCCGCGCCCCGTGTCCGCCGCCTCCAGCCTCCCCGGCTCCGTGCGAGGGAGGCAGGCAGCCAGGCAGGCAGCATCCTCCGCACCGCCGCGGCTCCGCGGCCCCTCGGCTCCTCGGCGCTGCCCGCCCGCTCGCAGCGCGTCCCGAGCACCGAGCCGCGCTCAGGGAGCGGCGCGCAGCTCCGCCAGAGCCCTCACAGACCCGCACGGGCAGACCGAGCTGCCTTCCCCCGACCCGGGCACCGAACGGGGCTGCGGCCGAGCATCTGGGCAGGCCGTCCCTAAAGCTAAGGCTCGGACTGAATTGATAAAATAAAAATACTGTCTTGCTTTACACCTGCAACTTCAAAGCTTTGACTTTCAGCGGCAGAAGCATAAGGTAATTTTCATTTCCCACTGGGTCTGGAGTGAATTGAGTTCCATAAGCGTTGTTTACTTTTACATTAAAAGAATCCAAAAACACAAGGGAAAGGAGCTAGATATTCCCTCTGTCAAGCCTCAAAACATTACCGAAGTTGTGGAGACAGATCTATTGCTTTCCCCTTCCCTCCTGAGCCATGGAGATATCTTATATATTTACAGCTCAACTAAATGGAAGTAAGAATTTATGAGTTTATTAAATAAACCATGGACTTACAAGCTAGCACAGGTAGCTCTAGACAAGTGTATGACAACTTGTTTCATAAAAATCTAGTACAGGTGTTAGCATTATTTGAGAACTTCATTCAAAGGTTAACAGAAGCAATAAACTGTCCTGTGAAGCTGTAAAGCAGTAATCCTACTGTAAAGCCAAATCTGTTTCTGATTTCTGTACGAAGCTAAGATGATACTGCAACAAGCTGATCTGATCAGATAGTGGCTACAAAGGACTCCTGCAATGAATGGGAGAGGCCCCTGAAATTACACCCTCCTTAACTAAAGTTGAAGGGAAAATTTTCAGTCCTATACAACCTTAGCATATTGAACACGCAGGTATTTGTACAGTGTGAAAACCTGTCCTGTTTAACAGAACACCCTTTTAAACTAACTCACCCTTTTAAATCCCACTCACCCCCGACCTTCCCAAGCCTCGGCTCTGTTATTGCCAGTGCAAACAGGCTCGGGATACTCCAGGCGTCAGCCACTGGAGGGCAATGTTACCCACTGCTCGTACACCACGGTCATGCACACAACCTTTCCGGGACGATAAAGCCGATGTAATTAACAGACCGATGTGCTTTCAACAGCACCGCCTCTTGCCCAAGGCAAGTGTTGCACACTGTGAAATCATACTTTGGTGACATTAAGCTGACTTGCAAGTTCGAGGCTAAATAATTGATTTTCTTTCATTCCAGTTGATATCAATTCGGACAGTAAAAACATGCCAGCTTGATCATTTTTACTTTGTGAAAAGAGACAAATTCAGAAAGTGAAATAGGAAGACTATAGACTATGCAAGGCTATGCCATTATGATACTATATTAAGTTACTCAGCCTGAAGAACCTTGCCATGACACAGAAGACCACTCAGCCTTGCTGAATGGATATTTTCCCCTTCAGAAAAACAGAACTAAATGCACTACTGGATATTTGTTGTCCTTTCCCATTGATTTCATGTTGTGTAACTGCAAAGGAGATCAAACAACAATACTCTTAAGAGCATTAAGTGCAAGGAAGCAGCTTTCATCAGTTTTCCTAATCAAGTGCCAGAACAGAAGTGCAATTATTCCAGAACAAACATGCTGTAAAAATTGTTGGTTTTTTCCAGAGACCTTATTTATTTGGTGGTTTTTTTTCATAACATTCTCTGATGATTGAAATCTTTCTGCTGACTAGCTCTCCTTGCTGCAAAGTATTATGAAGCTGTCCCACAACTTTAAGGATTAACTGAGTCAATACAGCTGATGAAGTTCAGAGGTATTTAGGTTTAATTAACATACTATCCTTTTGGCTGATCTCTTCAAGACAGGTGCCTCAGGGACAACTTGTCTCATTCTTTAGATTGCACTGAAATATTTTCAAAGCAGACTTACAAGTGTGTAGAAACAGCTGTAATAAGGTTTTGGATTTTGAAAGTGGCTCAAGGCAGCTGCTTCAACTCTTAGTGGAATAATGCTCATTTTGGAAGATTATCCAATAATCCTGCCTATCAGGAATGCCTTCCACCTCCCTCCCCTGTTACTAAGGAGATCACATCCAAAAGCCTGCAGAGAGTGGCCTTTACTACTGGCTGTAGATCTCTCCTTTCCCCATATTTCCAAGAAAGTTAAGGACCCCTTAGCTTCTGAGGGCCTCCTGGCAGGTAACAATCCCAGGGGTTACACCCCCTGTAGAAGTATCCTCCTCAAGGACACCTGACCACATGCAGATCATCGCTTCAGCCATGCAAAAGTAACTGCACCTCTGTTTTTTGTTTCAGAAAGGCTGTGGGTAAGCATGGCAGACTTATCCACCTCCAACACTTGTGCACTTGAAACTGAAGGCTCAGCTCTTACTCACAGCAGCGTTTACTTCCCTGTATTCAGAGGAATAAGATTCATTGGCTTCACTTAAGGGCATGCCAACTTGTCACTGTCTCCCACAAGACTTGGACCTTTCCTGTTATTCACCCTAGGACTTGCAACACTGCTATGCAATTTACTTTGCATCCAACTTCTCATGCTTCAACTAGCAGTATTAATACCAGACCACTACCTCATAGCCTCTTCATTTAGAAGAGCTAGATCAGATCTAGTTTACATGTTCAGCTACATCAAATGTTGAATGCCCTAATCACATTGATCTTAAGTCTGCATTACAGAACTGTTTAGGTTGGAAAAGATATTTAAGATCCTCAAGTCCAATCATGAACCCAGCACTGCCCAGTCTGCTGCTAAACCATGTTCCAAAGACACAACTACCTGTTTCTTAAGCATCTTCAAGATGACAACTCAACTACTTAGATGCTTGTTGAATGTAAACATTGTCTAATACACCTTGCTTCAATTCTGAGATACTTTCTGCAAGAGTTTAATACTGCTTCCCACTGTACTTTACAAGTTCAATGAGTCAGACTTGAGTTATAAACTCCCTTATAAAAAGCCCATTCATTTCTTCAAGGCTCTTACTTCACACTATTTAACGAGGTTTCTTCTAAAAATAGATGGGATTAAAGCTTGACAAAAATAAAGAGATTTTATGGCTTTCTCTCATCATTAAGAGAAACCAGACTTGATGCCCTGACAAATTCATATGGCATTTATTATCACTTGAAAAGCAATGAATTATGGTTTAATACTCTTACATCACTGCGCCTGCAAAGATGACATTTTTCTGCATCTATCTGCCTCCTTAATGTCTGCTCACCAACAGTCATAGCTTCTGCATGATTGAGTACATAAAGTGTTGTGAGTTCTATAGTGTTTTGAAAGATGAGTCACTTGGGATGCTTGTCAACTGTCAGAAGTCACAAGAGAACTCATGCCAAAATTTCATCACTTTTCACTTAAGTAGATCAGCCAGCTAGTTACTACCTCTAGCTCAGTGAAGTGCTTGATTGCTCTAACATGTGTTCCATTTTTAAGAAAAAATTATTTTAGATCAGTTAAGCTCCTCACCAAAACATCAGAACTACAAGCTATGAGAAACAGCTGGTTTGTAATGGAGAAGTTCACCAAAGGCCTCATGCTATTTAGTATTAAAACTATGTTAAGAGTGTTTACAGCCAAGAATCATACTTCTGATTCTGCACACTGTTTGCAGGATTAGGATCTAGTACAAGAAAGAGCTAAAGTACACTGAGGTAACGAAGCTACCCTTATTTGAGAGCAGAGTTGGACTACAGTTTCCAGGGGTCCTCTCACCTCAAGCACTCTGTGATTCTAAGCTCAGACACTCACCTCACAAGTTAAACTTTAAGTAGCCATACAAAGTTCCCTGTATGCTCCCAACTGTACTAACTGACAGTGTTGACTTGAGACATGTGAAAGACAGCTTTCCTCAGAGTGAAAGAGGGCCTCACCAAAAGACTCCAAACTTTCTCATTTACAAAAACATGGCATTTTTGTTATTGGTTAAGCCTCAAAGAAAGTTATCAGAGCGAACTCCTGAACAGCCAAAAGCTGTATTTAGAGTGCTGGCTGACAAGATTAGACTTTTCCTTGTACTGAAAAGCAAATTTGGCTCTCAACAAGCTACCCAGATTCAGTAACATGCTCACTTTCTTGGGATAACATTTTTTCACAGCATCACCATCACAAACTGAGTACCAAAAATGACACCAAATGAGGAGTTCTGCACTTCAGAATTGTCAACAAGTTAATACACAAACAATTACTTTGAAGTGTGACTAAATGAGTTTGTTTTACCTGAAATAGCTTATTTCTTGCACTATTCCCCTAGCTGCTTTCACCATTCAACAGAAATGCAGCTGAAAGTTAGTCTAGACACACATAAGGTAGGAGTTCAAAGAGGCAGAGCACAGCATGCTGGCAACAGGAGATACAGGGCATGAACTTCAGCTACCAGGTCCTCAGAGAGAGCTTTGTTCCACAGGACTGGCTATCTTGACCTTGAATTATAACCAGTTCATGTGGAAAAAAAAATCCCTGATGAACAGTGCTATGGTTTTAATTTTTAAGAATTTAGAAAATTGCCACAGTGTTCAACAGCATAACCCTGTAAGTTAAACATTCTGACATACTCATGTCCAAACAAAGGAAGATCTGGCAAATTTCACAGT